CATCACTCAGCTTCTGTGGGTTGAAATATCGCCGCTCTTCATACTGTTCACTCTGGAGAGTGTCGATCAAATGGCCGAATGGATGTTCTGTACAGAATAAAAGACCTTATTGAGGACTTTGAGACTGAGCTGATAAATGAATGTCATTTACATAACAGTGACAGGAAAATAATGGCTTGTGTGTTTAAAACTCATTAATCTGATCTGGATTTGGCTTTGACTGTGTAATGTGCATCTGCAATGACCAAACAGAATCAAAACTGGCCCAGATTACAGCAGACCAACATCTACAAGGCATCTCAAAGAGAGTGCATCGCTTGTTAAACCGCCTCTGTTTACTGGCCTTCACCTCTTCCCTCCTAAAGTCCCACTTAGAAGGCACAAGTGTGCAGCTGTGGGACTCGTGTTGGCAGTGAGTACTGAGAGCTCACAAGCCCAATTCACAACCGTTCAGGGCAGAAACGCAAGCATTAAATGACATGTGAACAACATTCAATTTAGGGATGCAACAAAAATTCAGCAACAAGAGAAAGAGATAAATGAAAGTGACACGATTCAGGTTCAAAGCCGAACGCTGACATTTATAGAAGCATATTATGATCAAAATTCAAACACAAATTAAGTATTTGCATTTCCTAGCTGTGCCTAGAAGCAGTAGCCCTCTTGGTTACGGAGAACAATAATAAACCATTTTCATGTTTTCTCTCATGGAACAAGGCAGAGAAGGCAGCTTCTGTTACTTAAGAACCTGTCTATTTTCTTTTCAAAACTAGAAGAAGAAAAAACAGGCATTTTGTTCTTTGTTGTGCGTTACCAAGCAGTCTATTGTTAAAAGACACGGAAGTACTTATATTATACCAATTCAGAGTTTTGTGATCACTGTTACTATTTTTACCCTAATCGTGTGTCAAAAAACAACATTTACTGTGTTTTTGGAGTAGACATTATTTACAGTCAACTGTGTATTGAAAAACAGATCCATAACTGTACTGCTATCAACCTCTCTCTCTCTCTCTTATTTTGATTAAAATAAATTAACACTTTTAATCAGTAAGGACACATTAAATTGAGCAAAAGTGTGACAGTTCACTAATCAAAGAGAGATCAACAAAACCAAATCCTCATCCGTGGGCATGATATAAACACACTAGTGCTGATGCACAGCAGTGTAGCACAGTATATTGTGACCCTGTGTGACTGCATGTGTGGAGGATGAACACGCACAGACACGCTTATCACTCAGTCACAGCCTGCGTCTGCTGCATGCCTTAAATGAGATCAGATTAAACAGAAACTGCAGCAAAGGAACACAAACCTGCATTGCCACATCCAAACACACAAAACCCATGATCTATATTTATGACATGGAAGATAAAGACACTGGGTGGGAAAGTAAGTAACACTGTCACTAACAGACAACCAGATTACAGAAGGATCAGTCCACTGACATGAAAACTAATATGCACAGTTAATTATCTTATATTATACCAATTCAGAGTTTTGTGATCACTGTTACTATTTTTACCACCCTAATCGTGTGTCAAAAAACAACATTTACTGTGTTTTTGGAGTAGACATTATTTACAGTCAACTGTGTATTGAAAAACAGATCCATAACTGTACTGCTATCAACCTCTCTCTCTCTCTCTCTTATTTTGATTAAAATAAATTAACACTTTTAATCAGTAAGGACACATTAAATTGAGCAAAAGTGTGACAGTTCACTAATCAAAGAGAGATCAACAAAACCAAATCCTCATCCGTGGGCATGATATAAACACACTAGTGCTGATGCACAGCAGTGTAGCACAGTATATTGTGACCCTGTGTGACTGCATGTGTGGAGGATGAACACGCACAGACACGCTTATTACTCAGTCACAGCCTGCGTCTGCTGCATGCCTTAAATGAGATCAGATTAAACAGAAACTGCAGCAAAGGAACACAAACCTGCATTGCCACATCCAAACACACAAAACCCATGATCTATATTTATGACATGGAAGATAAAGACACTGGGTGGGAAAGTAAGTAACACTGTCACTAACAGACAACCAGATTACAGAAGGATCAGTCCACTGACATGAAAACTAATATGCACAGTTAATTATAATTATACACCTTTAACTTCTAAAAGAAACCTTTTGGCATTGCAGACCTTAAGACTATTTTTAGTACCACTCAGTCACAGCCTGCGTCTGCTGCATGCCTTAAATGAGATCAGATTAAACAGAAACTGCATTGCCACATCCAAACACACAAAACCCATGATCTATATTTATGACATGGAAGATAAAGACACTGGGTGGGAAAGTTAGTAACACTGTCACTAACAGACAACCAGATTACAGAAGGATCAGTCCACTGACATGAAAACTAATATGCACAGTTAATTATAATTATACACCTTTAACTTCTAAAAGAAACCTTTTGGCATTGCAGACCTTAAGACTATTTTTAGTACATTTTTGAGGATAATTCCCTCCCAATGTTTCCCACAATGTAGGTTTTTACCGTTTTGGGGACATTTTAAGACACTATTTGTCCCATTTATGAAAGTTTTACAGCATTTAAGACAACCTCATATTAAGATAAAGAGGTTTTGTTACAAGCAGTTGTATAACTATTAAGAAATATTTAATAACTACAGAGAAAGGCTGTGCTTTGCCCTTAACGAAGTACTATAGCATAGTGACTGAAAACTATAGTAATACTACAAATCAAATGTATACACATAAAAGTACTAAATGATTACCATATACCCATACTACGGTATTTACATAGTACAGCAAGGTAAGAACACTTGCTGTACTATGTAAATCGTGGTACCTGTCCAGAAAACATGGTAGTACCATGGTGCACATGTGTTATTGCAAACAATACATAATAATCGAGAATAATACATAACAGGCTGTGTCTCAATGCTAAATGAGCTGCCTGCCTAGACAATATTTTAGGCACCCTACACGCATAACACAGCTGCTGTCAAGCTCACTAGGCTTTGATACACATCAGTTTGTGATCGATCTGGATGTCAGTCGCTCGCTCGCCGCTAGCCGCACTGCTAACGACAAAGCCGCCTGTTTCATCCTTCTAAAAGTGAATATTTAAGAGCCGTTTTAACACACAATTGTATAACAGGTTATATATATATCTGTCAGAGCGCAAATGACATGAATATTGTTGTTTTTGTCAGTAAAAACAGCCTTTACCGTGCTGAGGTGAACCGAGCGCCATGATGACTCCTAGTCCTAAAATGAACACGACTCCACTCGCTCGAGCCACGACAGCGAGCCAATCAGCACACAGAACCTCCCGGAGAACTGTCCAATCAGAGTACAGCACTGCGCACAGCTTTGTCCAATCAACAAACAGTATATTCTACTCTTCCCTTTATCACTTTGTTTTATCAACACACATCTTAATTTGATGGAAATAAAAGCGGATATAGAGAGCATCTATTCTTTTTAATGATCCTGTGTATATTAGTAACGTTAAATATTTAATATCGACAATATTTACAACTGTAAATGTCTAAAGGCATCCATCTATCTATCTAATCTATAACACTAATATTATTACATTAATATTACAGTTGTTCTGAATTGCTAAAACACATTTCTTGAAACCATCACTCCTTTTCTCAAAACCTTAAACACAAATCCAATCCAATACTCAAACTAAATTCACGAAACCTCTGACTCTTCCATCAAAATCAAACCATCACTGCAAAACCATTTCACTTGCACTCAAAATCAAACAGTGCTCTCAGATCACACACACTCATCAGTCAATAAAATAACACTACAGAGCATTCATTAGACACTACAGAGTAAACACAGCTTCCAGAACATTACAGAAAAAAAGTATATTGTATTGAGTAAACAATTGAGCAATTCTGTAAAAAAGAAAAGTATAGTAATTGCAACTGAGTAAGGTGAATATATTGTATAGGCCTACTGTATGTACTGCAAGAAGCTGAATATTGAATACTGAATGTTTGTATATATTCAGCACTTGGATACTGCAAAAATACTGCAGTTCAACTGCAAAGGCCAAAAAGTCAAATACAACTATAAATGAATAGCATGTTACAGTACACTCAAGTTGTGCGATTGTAAAATCAGAGATTCATTCGGTCTCAGCATCATGTCTTTGTGCTTGAGTCCGGCCTGAGGACTTTGTCCACATCACAAGTAATGTAGTCTTTTTTGCTAGTCAAAGAGAAAAACCCCTCTGGTCTGACAGATCCAGCCTTAATAACACTCTCTAAACCAGGGGTGTCCAAACTCAGTCCTCGAGGGCCGGTGTCCTGCAGAGTTTTGCTCCAACTTGCCTCAACACACCTGCTGGTAAGCTTCTAGTATGCCTATAAGAGCTTGATTAGCTGCCTCAGGTGTGTTTAATTGGGGTTGGAGCTAAACTCTGCAGGACACCGGCCCTCCAGGACCGAGTTTGGGCACCTCTGCTCTAAACCTTACTCTTTCTCTCCTCATCCTCCAATTCTTACATGTACTCTTCCTCCTCTCCTTCTCAGATTGTGTCCATCTATTGTTCGTATCATCGTTCAGTCACCCGTGCCACTCGTGCACTCTGAACTGGCTCATATTTTGTACAGTTGGTTTGATCACATCATTAGAAACAAGTGTGAACTATTCTGAATCGTTAATTTTGTGTAAACGATGACAACTGGGCTTTAGTTGTGTTTAACTTTTGCCGCTTGTGTTTAGCATTTTGCAGCACAAATGCATCAGTGTGATAAGTGCTTGAGTGAATGAGAATGTGTTTAGAGTTTTGCAAAAAGAGTGCATGAGGTTTGCAAATAGAGCCTAACTGCCTGAACGTGTTTAAGCTTGAGCAGAAAGAGTGCTTTATTCGACAAGTTTGTTTAAGCTTGTGAGAATCTGGTTCAGAGGGTTTAGTGTTTTAGCAATTCAGAAAAACTGTAAAATAGAAATAACACTGGCACACATCACTGCACACCACCGCCCAATCATCAAACAGCGCCTTCTGTGTCAATGACCAATCAACAGGCAGCAGCCTGTCAGTGACGTTTCAGCATGCGCCGGAAGTGTTGGGCATGACTTTCCATCAGGAGCTGCAGGCCGCGGATAGATCAGACAAAATGCGGTTTTTAGAGGCATAATAGCGGATTTGTCTCATGACAGGACCGCGCAGCTCCGCTTGAGGCCGCTGGATGGAGAAACAGCAAATATGGCGAGCTAACCGGGTGAGTTACCGTGTGTCTGAGAGGTCAAATGAAGTGTAATGTACTTCTGATGGGCGAGGGGAGGGACACAACAGGGGGGTGTCTAGTGTAATGCGCATGCGCAGTAGATAGGAGGCCTCTGTCATTTTTGCAGCTTCACCATGAAAAGGTCACTATAACTCTGATAAACATTCAGCTCTGTGTCAGAGCCAAAGAACTGATGGAGGACAGAAGAGTCATTAATGGTGGTACATGGTGTCTCTTAGATCTGTCATTGAAAAGAGCTGCATCAAGTATAGTATGGTCCCTCAAAATTCAGGAAGTTAGTTTCAAGCTTAAATGATTATTTTCAGAAATAAAAATGTTTTCATTTTTATATTGGATTTCTAATCTAGTGCAATTTTGCCACTGACAACATCCCAGTTATTAACACATTGTTTTAAACAGGCCCTATCATCGGGTTAATTCTAAATATGATGCTATAAATTAATATATTTTCTTCCTCTTTAATGTTTACACAAATTTAATATAATTTTAAAATAAATATTAATTTAAAACTTTTGTTTTATTTTGACAGGTATAATCCTGAGGAATGTGTGGTGTTCTAATAATTTACAGATAAATATAAAATAATTACATTGTTTTTAGTAATAAAATTGTGCTTTATCTTTTAAATGCCAACCCTATTTTTCTGGATAATTCTAAATATGATGCTATTAATGTTTACTTTAGAACAACAGGGATAATAATAATAATAAAAAAAGTATCTATTATTGTTTTTTTTAATTTTATTTTGACAAGTATAATTCTGTGGAAAGTATGGCATTCTAGTGATTTAGAAATTATTATAAAAAACAAGATTTTAGAAACATTCAGACTTGTGTGTTGTTCATGGTAAAAAAAAAAAAATGCAGTGCTCCAAATAATTATATTCTTTTTAGGAATTTTATTTTAAAAACATTTTTTAATGGTTGGTGATATTTAAGTTGTACTCTAATGCAATTGCTAAGCCCTATTATTCTGGTTAATTCCAAATATGATGCCATAAATATGACTTTTAATGTTTACTTTGGAACAATAGAGATGTCATTTAAAACCAAATATTTATTAAAATCTTTATTATTATTATTATTTTGACAGATATAATCCTTGGGAACATATGGCATTTTTAGAATTAGAGATTATTGTAAGATTTTAGAAAACATTTAGATTTACATCATTAATAAAATGTAATTATTTGTATTAATTGTATTGCATTATATGTTTATGAATGATGTTGTTTTATTATCATTTTTATTAACACCTTTTTTAGTTTTAAACGTGATCTTATTTTGTTGTTTGCTCAGTGTGAACTTGTTCATGTTCTTTATTGTAACAAAAATGCATACACAGTTATTAATTTATTATATTAATGATAAATATGTTTACCCCCTTTGGCAAGTATAAAACAAAATCTATGCATAAAATGCATTGGAAAATTGGGAACAAATAAACTATGAAGGCAGGGTAAACAGTTTAAAGACATTTTAATGGAGCCTTCATTTACCAAAAAATAAATAAATAAAATTAAGTTAAGATTAAGAGCTGTTGGGATGTAAAAATGTGCGTATTTCACAGATTTCAGATGTTCAATATCTGCTTTTTTGTTTACATGTCAAGAAATTATCTCTGCAGAGCATATGATTATGGCATAACCCAGCAGTCACATGACCTTTGAACTCTGTACCTTCAGATCTGCAACACAACATGCAGCTTATTTGAAATGTCATGATTTTGTCATTTCAGGTTGTGCAGGAGAGGAGCGAGTGTGTGTGCGTGTGATTTTGTGTGTAAGGTCACCGGCGGCAATGATGGAACAGAAGCGCAACATTCAGATCATTGAATGGGAAGATCTGGACAAGAGGAAGTTCTACTCGCTGGGCGTCTTCATGACCATGACCACACGGGCCACCGTCTACCCGTTCACCCTGATCCGCACCAGACTGCAGGTCCAGAAGGGGAAGTCGCTCTATAACGGCACCTTCGACGCCTTCTGGAAGATTCTGAAGGCCGAGGGGGTGCGTGGCCTTTATCGAGGGTTCATGGTCAACACGTTGACGCTTATCTCAGGTCAGGCCTACATCACTACCTACGAGCTGGTACGGAAATACGTGTCCTGTTACTCGTCCAATAACACGGTCAAGTCTCTGGTGGCGGGAGGCGCGGCCTCACTGGTGGCCCAAAGCATCACGGTGCCCATCGACGTGGTGTCCCAGCAGCTGATGGTGCAGGGTCAGGGCTGTCAGCTCACACGCTTCAAACTCAAGCCCAAGTTAGTGATGGCCACGTCCAAACACAAAGTGACATTTGGTCAAAGCAGAGATGTTGTGGTTCAGATTTTTCACACGGATGGATTTCGGGGCTTTTATCGTGGATATGTGGCGTCGCTCCTCACCTACATACCCAACAGCGCCGTCTGGTGGCCATTTTATCACTTGTATGCAGGTAAAGAAAATAAATATTTAGTGATGCTCTAAAATGATTTTCTGACCCAAACACAGAAACACTGAAACCAAAATTTAAAGGGATAGTTCACCCAAAAATTAAAATTACCCCATGATTTACTCACCTTCAAGCCGTTATAGGTGTATATGACATTCTTCTTTCAGACGAATACAGTCGGAGTTATATTAAAAAGCATCCTGGCTCTTCCAAGCTTTATAATGGGAGTGGATGGTAGCCCAAAATTTGAAGTCCAAAAAATTGAACCAATCCATTATAAAAGAAGTCCACACGGCTCCGGGGTGTTAATAAAGGCCTTCTGAAACGACGCGATGCGTTTGTGTAGGAAAAATATCCATATTTACAACTTTATAAACTTTAATCTCTAGCTTCCGTTAACTGTCGTACGCACGTTCACGAGAGAGTGGCGTCCAGCGGATGACGTAGCACGTAGGCAAACGTGGTGACGAACGTGAAAGCACAGAGGAGAGAGCAAAACAAAGCACCGGTCACGAATTAGTAGTACAAAACGAGGATTTGTAGCGAAAAATGTCGGAGGATTTCAATATAAGCCAAGAGGACACTGGTTTTCCTTTGCTGTAAACAAAACTTGTTTCTCGCGAGACTAGCATATTCTCATTGGAGTTTACGCTACGCCTACGTCATCCGCTGGACGCCACTCTCTCGTGAACGCGCGTACGACAGTTATAGACAAACGCATCGCGTCGCTTCAGAAGGCCTTTATTAACCCCCTGGAGCCATGTGGACTTTTTATAATGGATTGGCCCAATTCTTTGGACTTCAAATTTTGGGCTACCATCCACTCCCATTATAAAGCTTGGAAGAGCTAGGATGCTTTTAAATATAACTCCGATTGTATTTTTGGGTGAACTAACCCTTTAAGTTAACATTTAGCTGAAAACCTAACCAAAAATAGAGTTAAATTAATAATCAACTACATTTATTTAATAATAATTAAATAATAATGAACACTCAAATCAAAACTCAGTTAAAAAATAACCAGCCATTAAAAAAAAAAAAAGACAAAAAATGCAGCTCTTAAATGAAATGTTGCATTTTTGTTACAATGAACAACACAAACAAGTTTACATTGTTTAAGTTAAGCAATTTAAACAATTGTTTCTTTAATTTATTGTTGAAATATAAACTTATTTAAACGCAGGCTGTCATAACCTGTTTTCATGACAGACTTATTCAAACGTATTTTTAAAGAATATGACTAGAATATTCATTAATGTTTAACATTGAAAACAACAAAGTCTATGCATGAAATAGCTATCATAAAAACTTGTTTTCTTAACAGATTTATGCAAACATGCATTACCGGTAATTAAGACATGCAATATCCAATATATGTAATATAGTGCATATATTTAGCAAAATGCTCCATCTAGCTGACTAGCTAGTTTATGAAAATGTAATTGTTTTTCTGAGGTAAATATAACGTTGTTTACTGACGTCTTTCACCAGTTGAAACACTGATTGAGCGATTGCATGAGACACACAGTATATACATACCTTCTGATGTTCATTCATGCTGATTTCTTGCTATAACTAGCAGTAAAGAGGAAGAGATGATGGATTCACGTGCTGCCTGAACTGAGGCACATTAACGCCACATTAAAGTGCGCCACCTCTATGAATTTCCTGATAAAATTGACAGAATTTGAAAACTCAGACTTTGTTTCATATTCAAAGTAACAAAGCACAAATAAGTGGAGAAGCGCTAATTAATTAAACGTCACTGTTCTGGTCTGTGATTTCGGTTCTCCAGGATATTTTGGGTTGCCGAACTAAAATATGTAATTTCCTAAATGCTCTTACTGCGTCTCATGAAGCCTGTGGGTGTGTGTTTCCAGAGCAGCTCTCCAGACTGGCTTCTGCTGATTGTCCGCACCTCCTCCTGCAGGCCGTGGCGGGACCGATGGCTGCAGCTACAGCCTCCACCCTCACCAACCCCATGGACGTGGTCCGAGCCCGAGTACAGGTACAGACTCACCCATAACCTGCTGTAATTCATATCATTTATTGTTATTATTTAAGTGTACCATTTAAAGGTTTGGGGCGGTAAGATTTTTGAACATTTTTGAAAGTCTCTTATGCTCGCCAATACTTTTATCTGATCAAAAGCACTGTAAAAATACTGTGAAATATTACAATTCAACATAACTTTTATGTAAATATATTGTAAAATGTCATTTATTCCTGTGATGCAAAGCAAAATTTTATTTTTTCTTCTTCAGTGTCACATTATACTTTAGAAATCATTCTAATATGCTGATTTGTTGTAATTATGTTAGGATTTTTTGCTGAAGAACAGCATTCATTTGAAACAGAAATATTTTGTAACATTTTAAACGTTCAATCCTAAATAAAAACTTTTCACAACAAAATCTCACTGACCCCAAACAACCCGAACAGTAGTGTATTAAAGATAATATTCTTCATTTTTATTTATTTGCATAATTTTAAACTGCATAAAATACATCTATTTAAATCAGGATTATAGTTAAACTATACTTGAAATAAAGTAAATGTTAGCTGAAATAAAAATAAATCATAACTCATATTTCGGCTAGTAGGCAAGGCACCATTTATCATTTACTTTTAGTTTAACTTGAAGTACTAAAATAACAAAATCTAAATATAAAAAAATAAAACTAATAAATAAAAATGAAATAAAAACTGTTATAGACAAAAATGACAAAACACAACTTGAAAAAATGACTAAACCTTGAGCTAAAAATAAAATGAGAAGAGAAAATATATATATAAAAAAATCGAATTCAAAATATTACAGGGGTCATATGATGCGATTTCAAGTTTTCCTTTCTCTTTGGAGTGTTACAAGCTGATCGTGCATAGATAAGATCCCTGAAGTTGCAAAGACTAAAGTCTCAAAACCAAAGAGATATTCTTTATAAAAGTTAAGACTCTGCCACGCCCCCCTAAACCGGCTCGTTCTAACACGCCCCCACATAACTACCTCACTATGTGGAAATATTTGCATAATGCCGCCCAAATGTGCACGCAAAGAAAGAAGGCGTGGTTTCAGTAAACCTTTAACAAAAACTATAATAGAATATCAATATTATAATAACACTGATTTAATTGAATGTATTTATGTATTATTATACATACAAGCACTATTTTTTTTAAATTAATCTTAAATCCATTTATAATCTAGCTATAGAAGTCCAGCTTTGTCTGTGCTGTTTTCTGATCCTCACAATAAAACTATGTTTGCTACTATATCTTTAAGACATCTGTATGTAAATAACAACTGTGTAATACTGATATTGTTCACATTGTTAATCATCAGGATGACATTGCTTAGTAGTAGTATTTGATCATTCTATGTTAATGTACTCATAATAACCATGATGAATTCTGAATGAGCCATTTTTGCAATATTTACAATACATCACACTAGGGCTGGACGATATGGCCAAAATTGATATCACGATATATTTCTTAATTTCGGTCGATACGATGTAATTCCGATATCGATATGAACACTATTAAAAAAGCCTCATAAAAACAGCCAAGAACGGCCACAGCAGTTGTCTGTACCTACAAACTTATGAAAAATTAATTTGCCAACTCTATGAAACCTACTCCTATAAAACTATATAATATTTTAGGAAAAAAATGGTGCAAATAAATAAATGTTCACCTTTTATTGGTATTTAGCCTTCATACAAACAAGAAATGTGAAATCCGTGTCAAATAAATCTCAGACTCTCAGACTTCAAACTATAGGCTAACATACCAGGCATGCAGCGCTCGTGTTTATTCAACGAAGTCAAACGCCACAAATAAATCAATGTATGGGAAACACTGGTAATATCGAAATATCGGAAATGTGTTTAAAAATCATATCACCGTTATTGAAAAAAATTATATCGCGATACATATTGATATTGAATTATTGTCCAGCCCTACATCACACTTATATTTCAAAAGCGCAAAACGGTTCTTGTTTTGAAATAGCTCATTAAAATGATTTACCATGTCATTATCACTATGAATTTAAGCTTTGTGAGTTAATACACTGTGTGTGTGTTTGCAGGTTGAAGGTCGCTCGTCTGTGATGGAGACGTTTAAGCAGCTCCTGGCTGAAGAGGGCATGTGGGGTCTCACCAAGGGTCTGTCTGCACGCATCATTTCCTCCACGCCCACGTCAGTCATGATCGTCATCGGTTACGAGACACTAAAGAGACTCAGTCTGCGGCCTGAACTGGTGGAGAGCAGACACTGGTGAAAACACACATACCTCAGTCTTTTAAACAGATGCCTTTTATTATTTTCATGTTTTATGAGGACCAGGCAATAATTGGCGCTCAAATGTGAAGTTATATTTCCTTTGACTTTTTTGTGGATTTTGTATCCTGTTGTCATGAACTCGTCCGGCCCGAACTAGTATTTTGTAACGAGACGTCATAGATCTCGTTTGTTCTTTTCGCCCGGAATGTGTTTGTTCATCGGCGGTTTTGAAGTGAAAATCATTTTGAAATGGTGAATTTGACACTTTCTTGTGAATCTCATGCAGTGCTCTTCACGTCATCTGACAGGAAGTGAGATCATCACATCTGTTACATGGTAGGAAGAATGAGAACATGTATAGGCTTTTCACACTTGAAACCCTGGGTCATGTTAAACCCTAACAAATTATTCGGAATAGTCAGTTTTGTCTTATTTGCATATTTACATGGTTATTAATATTGTTTGGACGAGTGTCTTCTGAAACACACTAAATAGTCTAATTTATTACATATTTAGTCGTGGTTTTATATTTTTAAGTATTGACCTCAGACACTTGAATAATGTGTAAAAGTAAATATGATGAACAGTAAATATTTCACTGTGCTCATGAATATTTAATGAGGCGAAAATTGACTAAACATGTAACTAACATTTCCATCGTGCTCATGAATATTTAATGAGGTGAAAATTTACTAAACATGTAACTAACATTTCCATGGTCATGAAAAATCTGGAAATATCAGTGCATATTAAAATTAACAAGGCAATTAATTTTGAAATTCATACCTGGAAAATGTAAAAAAAAAAAATTATAGTAAATATAAATGTACTAATTCTATATTAAGCTCAGGTCTTAAACATTTCATTGGCCTGAAACTGCTCTTCAAGTGTAGTTACTATGAAATGATTGTACAAAAACGACTGTAAAATAGTGTCAATTAATTTGAAAAGTGGCCTTTACCCAGGGTTAAACAATGGTGTGAAAAGCCTTGTGAGAAAAGTTATAAAGCATCATGTTCTGCAGAATAATATTTCAGTCTGATTGAATCTTCTTTGGTTTGTCAGTGTTTTTATCATGGCCTTGTCTTTGTTTTTCTGAAGGTTAGTGTTTTGGGGCCAAAGCTTTTACAGTTTAAATGTTTTAGAAATGCGTTCATATTTGAAATGTAACTGCCATAGTAATTTTTTTCTGTAAGATTGTTTCTAACTGGATCTTAGTGTCACAATTAAGAGTGAATTAAATGAACCAAACAAGAATGAAACCATTTGGGATTTTTTTGTTTCTTCTAGATTTTCTCACATGCTCTACAAAGGGTTCAGCATTCAAACAAGTTCTGCTTTGGATCTTTATGTATTATAATTCATGTTTACATGTCTGCTATAACAGTCCAAAGCAAGGACTCTGAATTGGTGCAGTAACATTTGGTGTCCTGTAGAGGGCGGATAGTGATTAGCAAAGCCATGTGTGCACTCAAGTCATGTGAAGAGTTAAACTATAAATAATATAAATCTCATAATAAAATGTGTATCCAACTAAAAATGTCATGCAACATCATCGATCACTGAATGTGTGAACAGGATAAACGGCAACAACGACAAACAAGAACTAGGGGAAAAAAAGACATTTATTTGTAATACCATATACAGATGTTGAATTTAGCAATAAAAAAAAGCATTTGCATGATTGCTGTGGTCTTGAGAGGGTGTGACTCTTACAGAGCTTCATCAGGGGGCTGTAGTTTTGTGGAGATTCACATGGGACAGTCGTAAATGTGGATGGCTCTGTCATCACCTGCAGAGACGATTTTGGAGCCTGTCGGGTTGTACTTCACACTCCAAACCTACACACACACACACACTTGAACATGAGCATGCATGATTCATGCACTTCAGAAACTAAAACAAACCGTGATTTGCTTATTAACCAACAATACAGTAAAAACATTATTAATGTTAAATATTACGATTTACCCTTTTCTATGTGAATATATTTTAAAAAGTTATTTATTCCTATGATCAGGGTTAGGCAAAGCTGAATTGACTCCAGTCTTCAGTGTCACATGATCCTTCAGAAATCATTCTAATATGCTGATTTGCTGCTCAAGAAACATTTCTGATTATTATCAGTGTTGAAAACAGTTATGCTGCTTTATATTTTTATGGAAACCGTCATACATCTCTCACCTGGTCCTGATGATCAAAGAATGTGTTCACACATGACCTGCTGCTTGTGTCCCACACTTTTACACTCTTATCAGACGAACTAAAACAGAAACAAGTAACCGTTAAGAACACACAAACGACATTTTACATTTTCTATTCATCTGAAGCGCATCAACTCTTGCCTGGACACGAAGTGTGTGTTGTCAGGTGAAAAGGCCACGCTCAGTACCCAGGATCCGTGACCGCTGAGAGTGCCGGCCAGGTTAGCGTGCTGCCTGTGAGACACACACAAACAACCAGACCGTGAGATTCAAATCAAATGTGTTGGAAGGTGAAAGATGCACACAAATTTGCAGCGTACACGTCATAAATCTTGATGTAGCCATCATCTGATGCGGTTACCAGCAGCTGAGAGTCTGGAGAGAAAGTCAGAGACCTGATAGGCATCGCATGACCTGAAAAAAAAAAAAAAAAAAAAGAGCATATCTTCTTGTTAATCCCACAGTTTTGCGACTGTACCTTTAAGATGTCTGTATGTAAATAGTGTGGTATAAACAGTATTGAAGTCTGCATTTATTTGATCAAAAATACAGTACATAGAAGATGGAAAATTGTTTTCTATTGTAAAATATTTTATATAAATATTAATTTCTGTGGTGCAAAGCTGAATTTTCAGCATCATTACTTTCATCATTAACAGTCTTTAAAATGATTTAAAATGTCACAAAATATTTATATTTCAAATAAATGCTGTTCTTTTAAACTCTATTCCTCAAAGAATCCTGGATTTTTTTTTTGCCACATATAAGTAATAATATTTCACAATATTACTGCTTTTACTGTATTTCTGATCAAATAAATGCAGCCTTGGTGAGCATTAGGGTTGTGACGGTGAGGAAATTTTCCCACCGTTTAATCGACGTGTGACAACACGGATAATACCGGTATCACTGTGGGGGCGGGGGCGTTCCCTCTTTCTCGCTTTTAAATAGCTTGTAAAAGCGCCGTGCGCATTTTACTTTCACTTTCAAGTAGCGGCAATTCGGAGTAAAGCAATTGTTCGTTAGAATTTTCCCTCTTTTCCTCGCTTTTAAATAGCTTGTAAAAGCGCCGTGCGCATTTTACTTTCAAATAGCGGCAATTCGGAGTAAAGCAATTGTTAGTTTTTAGTTTGTTTGAATTGTCCCGATTTTCCTCGCTTTTAAATAGCTTAAAAGCGCCGTGCGCATTTTACTTTCACTTTCGCTTACTTTCGAATTAGCGGCAATTCGGCGTCAGTTGCTTGAATGCAACAACAAAATACAATGTTAAACACACTTTAGCCTATATATAAAACATAGAACTTTTATTAACAAAACAAATACAAATACACCATGCTATAGGGCAGGCTATGCCTAATATAAAATAACAAATAACTTAAAGTTTAAATAGCCTATTTCCAGTTTTGTATACCTAAGTAAACGTATAATAAAATGTTTAATATATATATATAACCAAATAAATAAGGAACGTAGAACGTTTATTAGCAAAACAAGTAAGAAAGCTTGGAGGCACGGCATACACCTTGATGTCAAATAAAATAAATAAATTATACTGATCATAAGAGACTTATTCCAAAAACATAAAAAAAAAATGTCTTAATTATTATAACTTATGACCACTAGTGTAGTACAATAAAAACGGAACTGCATCTAATGTTCAACATTACTTCCAGCTGTACTTGGAGCAAATGAAAGGGATGAGTGAGCGATGCAGGAAGACAAGGAGGAAAAATGGAGTCGCTCTGTGACAGGAGCCGAAGTTTACGACCCTTGAGGGACGGCCAGAGACGCAAACAGTTTTTTCCACCGCATTCACGTAACCCATAATCACCCTAAATGCATCTAGCAGACTAACGGACAGAGCGTCTAGAGCGTTTTAATAGAGGAAACTGAAGACAGCTTGAATCATGTGGGAGACGATTTTCACCTTCCAGCGTGTGCAGGAGTTTCCCAGTCGCAATATCAAAGATATTAATGATTCCGTCTATAGCACCACTGGCTAAGTACTTTCCATCTGGACTCTAGAGAGAGAGAGAGAGAGAGAGAGAGAGAGACAATTATTAGGGCTTGGAAAACTTTATATTATAAGGAAAATCAGCATTTTCTCATATTCATTCCAATGTGTAATGTGAATGAAATTTGGACTGTCATTTGTGAAATTAGTTCCTTTATGAACACTGATGCTGACTGTTACACTGACACTTATTTACATATTTCCCACAATTTTTATCCAATACATATTCATGACTTTTTCGATACTTCATATGTGGTTTGATTACTGGATGAAGACTTTTTTTTAATAATAGCAATTACACTCAAGAAACCGTTTCTTGCTGATAAAATATTTTAGAGCCGAGCATGACAAAAACATGTATGTTCAATATAGGCTTAAAAATGTTTGAATTTAATTGAATTCATTTGAAACCTTTTTATTTAGCATTTCAGCAAGACAGAAAATTAAACATTTTGTATATAATGAAGAAGAACATATTCTAAAAAAATAAAAACGTAAATAGTTATTTTTCAAAACGAAAATGTGATATACACTTCCGTTTTAAGGTTTGGAGTTTGATTTTTTTTTTTATTTGAAAAATAATTATTTTATTCTGCAAGAATGCATTAAATTGACCTAAAGTGACAGTAAGGACAATTATAATGTTATAAAATATTTATTTTACAAATAAATGCTGCTCTTATGAACTTTTTATTCATCAAAAAATCCTCAAAAAGAAAAAAAAAAATCAGTTTCCACAAAAATATTAAGCAGCACAACTATTTTTAACAATGATAATAATCAGAAATGTTTCTTGAGCAGCAAATCAGCATATTAGAATGATTTCTGAAGGATCATGTGACACTGAAGACTGGAGTAATGTAATTAAATTGTAATATTACTGTATATTACTGTAAAATCTTACCAACTCCAAACTTTAATTTAAATAGAATTTTTTTAAATAATATATTAAAAAAGGTTAAATAATATATATATATATATATATATATATATATATATATATATATATATATATATATATATATATATATATATATACCCCATTAAACTGACATTATGAGGTTGGTGAGTGTGTTTTAAATAAATGCTCTCCGGTCTCTGTCTTT